GTATATATCACGAAAATCACTTGTTTTGAATGTCCATACGAAGTTGTTGTTTATTGCATAGGAAGCATGACTCGACGACAATTAATCTGCGTGTAATTAAAACAATTGTATGCAAAGCTGATCGGAATTAGCAATTTTGTCAGTTACCACATGGACGCTATGGATGGCATATTTTCAGCGAAATTCCTAAATTTTCTGGAACAATGATCGAATTCAAGCCGGCTAGTCATGCTTGCCGAGTGAATAAGCATGATTGGTTCTTACCTATGTATCCAACCAATCATATTTAATTACTCGGCGAACAAACCTAGTAAGCCTCTTTGTCGACTTGAACCCCCACTTCTTCTTTCAAAATACTTGCAGGAAATATTTTCTGCCGGTGTTAAGTCGGCGCTACAAAATTCAAAAATTTAATGTTATTTATTATCAGTGATCATTATCCCTTATTTTATTCAATAAAATAAAATAATTGTGAACTTCTGATTAAGAATCTGGAAAATCGTATTTCAAAATAATTGTATTATAATTTGAAAGTGCGCGCGCATTTATTTAAATTTGAAACCTATTGGAACCGGCTTTGACCGGTTTAGCGAAGCATACTTGTGTTTTTAACATATTACTTACGAGCAAATGTTTGCATCATATTACTTACGAGCTAAATAATGAATAAAATAATTGCAGGATGATTAGAAATAATGTACGGAGACTGGTTCTCCTTGTCAGGTGTGTTTCTTAATATTCAATTGAAATTCGATGTCTAACCTGCATTCTTGTTGCAATATAACCTAACTTTTTCCAGAGAATACCAATATTGTTGCTCTTTACCAAGAGTGACGTCGAAATGTCCAACGTGGTTTGTTAAGCGATCTGTTTCGAGTGTCAGTGTGAGATTTATCAAAAATATAAGTCGAAAATGGCGACTTGTTGTCCCAACTGGAGTAGGCTTCTCGCTACTAGCAGTAACACAATGGAATTATTTACATCAGTATGGATATCGGATTGATATAGATGATGGGCCAGAATTGCTAAATGATGTTATGGTAATGGAGAGCCGTTTATATGTTAAGTTGTGTTAAATGTAAAATTAATATAGATATAAAGTTTTCTCGCTATAGGTAACTTGCTATTGTTGCTTGCCATTGAGGACAACTAGTAGAATATGGGGCTGGTTGACCAGCATCGAATTGCCGATTGGTCTTAGACCAATGCTGTATGGATTTTATGCGAATATTTTTCATGCCGATCTGGATGAGGTAGAGCTGGATTTATCTGCGTTTCCAAATCTGGTGGAATTTTTTGTTAGAAAACTCAAGCATAATGCTAGACCAATTGCTCAACATGCAAATATGGTAAACATTGATTAGGTTTTTATTTAGAAATATAATCTGAACTTACATGGTTCATCTTTCCTCCTTTTCTCTTTACTGTGAAGAAAGAAGAGAAAAGAACTATGCAAGAAGTTTAGCTACAAAGAACAAACCTTTTACCTTAATTCAAACTTATATAAGTATTAAAAGATCTTTTTAGTTCAATTTCTTGTACAAGCTTATCTCTCTTTTTATTTTCATGTTGGAGAAAAAAAGAAAAAGTGCAGCTAAAAAGAACAGATTTAAAGATCTAATATGAATATCTGACAATTTCTCTCAGATTTCACCTGCAGATGGTAAGGTGCTTTATTTTGGACCAGTGACTTCTTGCCGCGTGGAACAAGTAAAAGGAGTAACATACGATCTTAGACAATTTTTGGGTGATCATTTGAATGATCTCACATTAAATGAAATCGCGAAAAAAACGACACAGGACGATTATGTAAAGTCACTTTTGAAGAATCCGGATAATAAATTGTATCAACTGATCGTTTATTTGGCACCTGGCGATTATCATCGATTCCATAGTCCTACCAATATGATCATAAAATTTCGACGGCACTTTCCAGGTATACCTTTATCTTTGAAGTTTTAAGATTACAATGTGCTCTTTGCTTCTTGTTTCTTGCTTTTCATCACTTTTTAGTTCTTGTCGTTTTTTCTCTTCTTTTGTTTCGTTTCTTTTGTTTCTCTCTTCTCTGTTGATTTCAAAAGAGACAAGAAACACGATTGTCGATAAAATGGCCGTGAAAAAGGAAAAAGCAAGAAACAGAAAGCATATAGTATATTATAGATTAGTCTGGCCATGTTCTGATATACACTGTTAGTGAACTACTGAAAGTCTATAGTTCATGTATTATATGTAGTTATGTATATTACATATATACTATATGTATATTACATATAGATTTTCAGTATTAGCAGTGTATGTTGAAACAATAGCTCTTCATGAAGGCCCCTATAACTCTTCATGAAGTATTTCTTTTATTTTTTCTAAGCAACCATTTGTTTTTAGGAAAGCTACTGAGCGTTAATCCAAAAGTGCTCAAATTTATGCCCAACTTGTTCTCGTTAAACGAACGCGTTGTGTATGTTGGAGAATGGGCAGGCGGCTTCATGGCTTATGCAGCAGTCGGAGCGACAAACGTGGGCTCCATACGAGTTTACTGCGACAAAGAATTGGCAACTAATACAGTGCACTGGCCAGAAAGCGCGCATTGGAAGGAAGCGAGTTTAGATAACACACATATTGCCAAAGGTGAACTGTTTGGCGAATTCAGACTCGGATCCACGATCGTGCTTTTGTTCGAGGCACCGCGAGACTTTCAATTCTCCTTGCAAATCGGTCAAACCATTAAAGTTGGTCAGGCATTAACTACATTTTCTAAAGAGTCTGACAAAAAACAACTCGAACGACAGCACCTAATTATGAACATCGCACAGGATTGGAGAGATATATGGAAGCCTAGATTATAGAATAAAGCAAATAAGATTAGGAACTAATTTTATTGGAAAATTAAAGAAGATGTGTTGGTATCTTGCACGCTCGTATTTTTTTGTGCGAAATCGAATTATAGGCGCAATAAAAAAAAAACACTAGAGTTACGAGAGCTCTAGAGACTCAGTTTTCTCGAGTAAGTATCGATCCTGTGATTACTTTGTACGTAATCATGTTCGTGCGAGTGAAAATCATCTCATGCGACTTATCTGAAATTACATGTTAATACATCTCCTGCTAATTCTACTCGTTCGTTACTTTAATTGCGTAATATCAAGCATCACGCAAAAAAACAATGGTTTATAATAGATTTGGCATAGTTGATTTATTGTTGTATGGCCGGGTAGTACTATGCAATATGTCTCTCCTGTGAAGCTTCACACGATCACGATTGAGAAACCAACAGAACTTCTTAATGCGAGAAAACATACTTTTTTTTCTTTGTGCGTCACTACTGATAGAGGTCGGATCATAAACTGTTTTAGTTGCATGCCAAATCGATCTTTGTTTGCAGTTAAGTCGGCCGGTCAAGGCTGCTAGATGAAACACTTTCCTCAATTAAGGCTCTAACTCCTTTTTTTTAAAGAAAGTAACAGCCACGTCATATATCTCAAGTTTCCACACGTTTCGAAGTATCGAGTCTTACTGACCTCATTATATTTTTATAGCAGTATTTTTACCGATCGATTTTACTCTATCGTTAATATTAATGTTGCTTCTGAAAAATTTGTATTATAATAAATCGGAATATCTTTTATTCCGACTTGTGTGTATGTAGCGCGCACGAACATGACTTCGCACTAGACCAGATTAACTGTAATATGAATACTTGATCACGCGAATATATTTTATAATATATTTTATGCAAAATATAAATAAAAAGATTACATAGATACGACAGTTTGTCTAGATATATAATTACTTTATCCAGATCATTTTATTCAATTATCACTCACATTCTGCACATTTTATTATTTTATCACTTTATTGTAAATTAAATTCTTGATATTGTGATCATTTGATCACAATATTTTAATATTTATACTGTATATTCTGATTAATATTCTGCTAATAACTTTTTTAAATCTAAAAAATCGTGAACCTTTTTTTGTCTTGCCTAATTGTGCACCACATAAGCAGCAATCATAAAAGCATATGACTTTGATATGTACTTATATACATACTTAATGTCAGTATATATATATATATATATATATATATATATATATATATGTATAGTATACTCTCTAAAGTAAACATAAGCGATATAATCGATGAATCGTTAAATCGATTAACCGGAAAATCTAAAATGACAGGTATTAAGAGAGGCAAATCAAATTGCTCATTCATATATTAAACTATTGACATCCTGTGAGCTTAAAAGAAATTCATTGTACATTAATTCGTGCATGCGGTTACGAATTCTAGCACGCTAATTTAAATTTATCTCCTTCGCAAAATTTCTCTTGTATCAATTTAGGTCTAACTTTCTTGTAAATTTTGGGAGAGAGACAGTTTAAATTTATCTTTTCCGCTCACGTGAATTGCCTAAACGTAAATACATCATCCTGCGCATAGAATATCTCCGTGTCTTCTTGAACAAAGCAGCATGCATGTCGTTTATCATTGCCAGAAGTTAACGTTGGCCGATCTCCCGAAGAAGATACACACGAGAAAAAGAAGGAAAGCCACCGAGCCGGCCGGCGTCGTAAACGTCAAACCGACGTTTGGCGGATCAGTGAGCGTCGCGACGCCCGCGGCGCAGGTTGCACCGCCTCTTCTTCTTGCGGCTCGCCGATAGTACATACCGGTGCGTCGGATAGGACGTCGTTGCGCGGCACCACCGGTGATACCGCGTGTCTGGTACATACCGGCCGTTCGATATCTTCTCTGGGGCACCAACTCACCAAGACTTAGAAATAATTATTATGGGATGTTTAAGCGGCGGCTAAATGGGGGCCGATGGACATTTTCGTGTGACTTTGTCCCTCAAGAAGGAACCAGGTGCCGGTCCAGTCTTTTGCAAGATGGAGACATCTGCCAGGTTCCGGCAGCTGAAGACGGTGAAGCTGAGCTGCGACACGACCTACCGACTCGATATTAGCTTCAAGCCGCCGCAATTGTTGCAGTGGGTACAGTGAATGTGCAGTTATACATTACCTCTCCTTTTCCTCTCGTACTTAAATTAGATGTCAGATTTTCTTTCTGTAGGAAGACAGTGGGACCTCATATTGCGTGATCTCGATGATCGATGATTTGCCGACAAGTATTATTTAGTTCTACTTGAGAAAAGTAAACGTGTATCAAATCACGAATATATCTAGACGTATCGTTCCTGTTATAATTTGATTACATAATGACAATTTAACTCTATTGACCAAACTTTAATATATTTAGAATCTGCAGTATATCTATGTATATCTAGAACAATTCTTAGTTATATAATTTATGGTCCATGTAACGCTGAATTATTTCATCTTATTTGAAGTATATCAAATAAACATTACGGAGCGTTAAGGGGACTATAAACTACTGCAAAAAAGTCCCCATTCGACTAATAGTAGTTTATTAGAAATTTATACGATCATTTTCAGCGCAAAGGTGGGATAGGAGCCGGCGATAAATTTCAACGTCTGAGTTTCTATGCTCCAGGGACGAGAAGGATTATAGTTTCTCTATATGTTCAGATATAGAATCACTAATAATGCCAACTTAGCCATAATACTAAAAATAATCTCAGTTACGGAATAATGTTTACTTTCGTGAGTATCTAACGAATAGAAGAATAACTAATCTGTATTAAATATTTCGCCTTATTGCGAGTGAAATTTTGTCGACGATTCGTTTTGCAAGAATTTTCTTCGGCGTACTGAAATAGAATCTCTAGGTCGACAGACATTTTTATTATTAATTTTACGATAAATTCTAATTACATTTTTTTGCTATCCAGTTGTTTTAAAAATAAAACTGAATAATATTAAAGCTCCTATTTATTCACCATTATTATCTCAAATCGTGACGTAGAAGCAAAAAAACAAAATGTTTGCAAATAGTATTTAAATAGGAATATTTTTATATAAAAAATATTTTTCAATAAGATAATATTTACAATATATTACATCGGGAAATAAAACAATATTTGCTATCGAATAGATTATAAAATATATATCAAAAACTATCCTTTGTTTCAGGCAGAAATAAAATCATATTTATTTCTACAAATTATTAAATCATATTTATTTCCATATATTATTAATTTGATATTTTGTCATAGCCACGAAATAATTTATTTCATTTTTTATTATGTATAATTTGTTTTCAGATGTATAATTATTTATTGACGAAACAAAAGGAGAATTTTCAGTTTTATTATATTGGGTGGATCCATATATTCGTTCGGTTTTTGTTATTAGGTGTTGGAATTAATTCGTAGCGTTTTACAAGTGATGGGAAGTACTTTCATTAATGTATTTTTTAATGCTCATGTGAAATAAATAACATTCTTTCATTAAAAAACGCTACGAATTAATTCCAACACCTAATAGTAGTGTAAAAACGGAGAATCATATCATCGATTAAAATTCATTCTTTGAAAAAAACTGGTTTTACCTTCAAAAACCGAACGAATATATGGATCCACCCAATATGTATTTTACAAAAACGGTTTTATCAATTGTAAACAGTGTTTTATTAAATTTCCATATTAATATAATTTGCAAGAACTTTTATTGTGTTATTTTCTCGCTTCTGTCACAATCTGAAATAGTAATAGTGAGAAAATTAAAAAATTAAAAATATTTCAATTAAAATATTGAAACTTTTATTTAAATAAAAGATTAGAATTTTTCGACAGATAAATAAATCAGAATCGACAAGATTTATATCGAGATTTCGATAGATTATCGTAGATGTCAATTAATGCAAAAGTTTAATATTACGCAAACACCTTATTTATTTTATTTTATATTATATTGCATCGTGAAATTTTTCTGTACAAATTGAGAAATTTAATATCCGCGGAACAAACGGGGTCGCGCTTAAACTTGCAAAACGTACCGACAACATTAAGGATTAAACTCAGGTCGAAGCAAATTTGCGGACTTAAAGTCAAATAAGCATGTATGAACGACGACAATCGTGCAGCCAGCCGTTTAAATCGACACGAGCGGATTTGCACAGGGCAATTAGGTATTGAAGCACATCGAGAGGCATTACGTTCCTTCCTCGTCGCTTTTATAGAACGCGAGACCGCATTACATGTACATATACGTGATCTTGTCGCGAGATAACTATACCTGCGCGCAGTTTCTAAACGATCACGAGCGAGTACATAATCCTGGAATCGGCGAAGTGGGTGACTCGAGGAGAGGGTAGGTTTTAAACGTATGCGAGTACACCAGCTGCAATGACACCGATTGCCCCGACCTAGGCGGGCGCGAGAAAGACGGACGTGTTATCGCCTTGAACTGTAAAACTCGTCCCCCAGTCTCGGGGAATCGATCGTGATTTTGCACTCGTGCAGCTCACGTGCTGGTTATAATTGGTTGATCGATGACACAACCCAAGCCCCGCTGATGAGGGATACAACGTGGACGATCAACTTGTCGTACACGACACCGGGACCGTCTTATCGCGGAAGCGCTGAAACATGATGAATGTATCATTTTTATATACCACCGCGATCTTGTGCGCTACTTAATGAATGTGTGTCATGAATTCAATCACCGGGCTCAGGCTTGAAATATTGCCCGGGTATATATAATTGCGATTATCTCCCGGTAAGAGAAATCCCCGATAAATATCACATGGAGAACGATCGCATCGTAATTGTGGCAATAAATCGTAATTACGTTTTCACCGTGGAAGATATGCGACTATATAAGTACAGTATAGTATATCGGGATGATCTGTAAGATGAGAAATATCAGCTGTCGCCGACGGGAAAATTGAGACGCTGAGTTTGCTGGAATTAAAACGAAATTATCGTTCATCTAATCTTTGATATTCGATACAAAAGACTTAAAGACTGGAAGTTAGAGATAACAATGTAGGAACTTACGATCGATACGAGGATCAAAAAGGTATAAGGAATTCAGTGTGATAGCTTCCATTCGATAATTGAGCTCTAAAGCGACTGCAAGTGGTAGAGGTTGTTAATAATTAAACCTGTTACTTTTTTGTTGTCAATGCAACATTCCACGAATGATTTACGGCGATACAGGCGCGATTTGCACGTGATTTGCACACGTTGAACTCGAAATCGAATATGGAGATTACGCGATGCGCATAAATATTTCAGCTACTTCCCGACATAATCACGAATTCGGAAGTGTCCGCGTGATCTTTGAGAAGTCACGAAAGGGGCTCGCGTGCCGCGGCACGGCAGAAATGGAGCAGTTTCCCTTTGTTATTTTTCGGACAATGAAAAATCCCCTTTCCTTCTACCGATGGGAGGAAAATCCGGCTCTCCCCATCCGTCGCTATCGCCAAAATCTCGTGGAATTTTAAACAACCGCGCGGATTTCATTAGTTTGAATCACGCGATGCACTCTTGCAGCATGGCCTGCTTTTCGATTTTAGTCGTGACGAACGATACGACAATCCATTCCCCAGCGCGAGAACGGAGGGATACTTCATATATGTGTCCCTACTGAAAGCGGACTAACGATTAATTCGTTTCAATGATGTACACGTCATCTGTTACATTCGATTAATTATTGCGAACGTCTGTTATTACCTCCTCGCGCGGGGAAGCTTAAATATAAAATCGAGCGATTAAAAGTTTTGTAATGAGCGTCATAAAGTTTGCCGTCCTTGTTTTCCCGCAGTAATATAATTCCTTATGGACGGAAGTAAGGCAGGAGGACATGAAATGTGGACACATTGACAAGCTTATGATGTTACGAGTCGACGGGTATTGCATTTTTTATGAATGATAATGCTATATCGACCGTAAGCGCGCCTTTAGATGCTAGTCCACGACTGCAATTCCGTTTCGGCTCATCTCTTATTTTAGATGCAGCTCTTGGGATATGCATTTTTAATCTTTAAACCTGGTGATGCATCCCGTAAGACATCTGTGTCCGTTTAGATCTGCGCGAGATCTTGTTTTGGAAACTTGTGAAATTTTTCCAACTCGTATAAATCTCTCTCTCTCATGTTTTCAAGTCCTTAATTTATCATAATACTTTTATGAAATGAAATATAAAATTTCTCTTATTTTATGCAATATAAAATGCAATATAAAATATTATGTAATATGTACAATATATATATTTTTTAATGTTCTCTTCATTACAGAATTTTTATTTCATTTCTTTAATGTCGCCAATTTTAAGTTAATTGAGCAATTCTATACGTAGGAGGCTTGTAATTTTTTGGCATATGGAACCTCAGAAGGGAGAGATTAGTAAATGACGGATCGATTTTTTTTTTCATATGTATACAAATGTATATATATATATATATACTTTATGCAGGTATAATAAATATAAATGAATCTTATTATTAAGTTGAAATCGCAAAGTATGTTTCTCGAGAACTTTTACAAATAAACTCGTCGTTAAAATATTTATATTTAATGATTGTGCAAACTCTTTGTGCATTATTGCCGTTATTCAGTCTTCAGGACTCGCATCATTATTTATTTCCATTCTACATTTGTTAAAATCTGTACAAATTTCAGTTTTTCTTTTTCAAATCTGACATGAGGAATTCTACGTGCTAGATATTTGGAATATTTGGCCCGTGGAATTTGCATATGCACCATATAAAAGTTTCCGCTTATGTTATAAAAAATTGATCTACGAGAAAGTGTCTCAAAGTGTTTCTTCGAAAATTACTTACATTACATTCTTTGTGTATTATACATTGTCTGCTCCATTTTTCGTGCAAGCAGGATTTACAGATTCGTTTTCTAGATATAGCGATCTGATTCTTGTGGTTGTTTATCTCAGGCGATAAGCTGATGCACGCAACTGATACACGATCACACACGCAGGTCATTTGCGCGAACTTTTGTCGTCGCCTTCGTGATAACTCTAAAAATAAAGTTAGTCGTGTGCCTCGTATTCATATCAGGAACTAGTTTTGAAGATATATAGATATATATCTGTCAATCTAAAGCATCAAAGCGTCCAAGAATACCAATCTGTCGTAAGATCCAAATCTGCGATCAGGATTGAAGTAGAGCAAAAACGATCAGCCACTTGCAAACATGATTCTAACAAATGTAGTTTATACAGTCAGGATTAAGTAATCATCCTTGAACTCTTTATTCAATAATTGTAAGCGCTTTTAGTTATTAATGATAAGTCAAAGCTAATTAGATAGTCAGCGTAAGAAGGGATTAAGAAGTATAATAAATGTTTTAAAGATTATTCATTATAGTATATGATCACATTTTATTTATTATGTAATTCTTCTTCAAATAAAATATGTAGTTTTTGTTTTTACTGTGTAAAAATGATTTGTTTTAATCCATGAAAGGATACCAGATTGATTAATTTGTTATAAGATTGATTCAAAGTGTTCGATATGTTTGAACAAAATTCTTGGATGAAAGGGCTTGACATACACATTTTGATTTATGTTATTCTTGCCAATTCAGATTGCTATTTCTAAACTTTATAAACTGATAAATTTTTACGAGTTGACTTATAGGAATGTTATTGGTATACATAATAATCGTTGATTCGTTTATCTTGATGTTATGCCAGACGTAGGAAAAATATTACCAAAGTACACACACATGGCAACGATTGTGCTACGCAAAACATCTATTTTCGCTTCTAAAAAGAAGAGTTTCACCACGTTATGAAGCGCGCGTTCATCGCGTTCATCGCACATTGACTCGCGTCATTTCCGCTGCACTCGTTCGAACTTTTGTCGACTTTCTCACTTTTTAGACAGTCAATATATCGAATAAGCAAATGATGTCCTTTTACAAATAAATAACCAGCTTTGTGTTGTGAAGAAATAGGTCATCCAGCAGAATGCAAGCGTGAGGAAGTGCAATAAATTATCTTCTCCGTTCGTCATTATAAAGACGTACATCTCTTTGTCTCTTTATTTCTTCATTGTAACATTCAGCTATTATTTTAGATTTTAAATTACTTGAATAATAATGATCTAATTAAATATAATAAAAAACAGTATTTTAATATGATTCTTTAATCTAATTTGTAAGAATTAATTTATATGCATGAAATTATGAAATTCAGTACAATTCCTTTTAAGGCGTACCGTAGAGGAAATAGAAAATATCTATAAAAATAAAAGAAATAATATAATGAAAAATATTGAAACAAAAGTTAGCTACTTTATTTATATTCATATCCACATGTTTTTCAAACTTGACAATAATACTATTTGATATAGAGCAAAGTTTCAGCTTTAAAAATCTTTTTTTAATTACGATTTTTAAAGAAATCATGAGCTATCAAAATCAAAATATTTCTTTTACTTAATCCGCAATAATTCAGTAACAAAAAAATTTTAGGAACGTTATCTAAAAACGTTTTCACGTGAGTAAGTTGAAAATTTTCATAAAGGACTCTGCACACTTCTTGAAAACCCTGATTGATTGAAATTTTATTGGGAGTACAAATTAGTTCGGTCCGTTTTCCAAAAGATGACTCCAGCTGTTGTGAATGATTCATAGTGAATTCAGCCGATTTTGGCGTTTTCAGAGAGATTGGACATCTGCTAATAATATTCAGTTTATATTGCTTTGAATTTCATACAAAAACCTTGATTTTTACTGTGTTTGAAATGTCGAATTTTGTGTTAACCAAGCACCATTTGCGGGAGGTTTTAATTTTCTGCTTTAATTGGAAGAAAAGTGCAGCTGAAGGCCATCGAATGCTTGTCGAAGTTTATGGTGACACTGCTCCAACTGATAAATCATGTAGGGAATGATTTTGACGTTTCAAGAATGGAGATTTCAGCGTTGAAGACAAGCCTCGCTCTGGACAGCCAAAAAAATTCGAAGACAAAGAATTAGAGGCATTACTCGAAGAAGATCAGAATCAAACGCAAGAGGAGCTTGCAGAATCATTGGGAGTAACTCAACAAAGTTGAGTTTCTGCATGATTGAGAATCACGGGAATAATTCAAAAACAAGGAAATTGGGTACCGTACGAGTTGAAGCCGAGAGATATTGAACGGCATTTGTTTGCTTGTGAACAGCTGCTTGAAAGGCAAAGACGGAAGGGATTTCTGCATCGCATTGTGACTGGGAGCGAAAAATGGGTTTATTACGATAACCCCAAGCGCAGAAAATCATGGGGAGTTCCGGCCATGCTTCCACGTCGACGGCCAAACCGAATATTCACGGCAAGGTCATGCTCTGTATTTGGTGGGACCTGCTCGACGTAGTGTATTATGAGCTGTTAAAACCGACTGAAACAATCACAGGCGATCAGTATCGAACGCAATTGATGCGTTTGAGCCGAGCATTGAAAGATAAATGGCCGCAATACAACGAGAGACACGATAAAGTGATTTTACAGCATGACAATACTCGACCCCATGTTGCGAAAGTGGTCAAGACATACTTGGAAACGTTGAAATGGGAAGTCCTACCCCACCTGCCATATTCTCCAGATATTGCACCGTCTGATTATCACTTGTTCCGTTCGATGGCACATGGTCTGGCTGACCAGCAGTTCGACTCTTATGAAGACATCCAAAAATGGCTTGATTCGTGGATAGGTATGGGAGAAAGTAGTGGTCAGCGATGGACAATACTTTGAATCATAAATGTATAACCAGTTTTTTACAATAAAGCCTCGAATTTCGGAAAAAAATGGCGGAAGCAAAGTTGTACACCTAATAATATATAAAACATTTGATTATTGTAACTTTTAATTAACGAGCCAAAATCCATATCATATCAAAATTTCAATTTGATTTGGAATCTCATTTCCATAAGAAGTATGCAAAGTCCTTTTCTTTGGGCACAGGACATAAAATTGAGAAGAAAATTCCCCATTTTCCAGTTCGTAGTTTTTTACATGTAAAAATGATCAAATTCACAGAAACTCAGAAGATATAAGTGATCTTTTATTATAAAAGTAGAGATTATAAGCTTTAAAATCCTTTTTTAAATTTTGTTTACTTTTAATAAAGTTAGAGTTACGTGAATTTTTTGAAGTGCGTCGCGTTATAAATTTTTGTTTCAACTCAATGTAATCCAATACATATTTTACGGATGTATTTTTCAAGAGAAACTCTACAGAACGTATTTTTCTAAAATTTCTGTTATTTTTTCAGGTTCCTGAGTATCGGTGGCAAACAAGTGGAGACGGTTGAACGAGCAAGGAACACAGCGGCGTGTGCTTACAGCGCTTATCACAGCACTAAAGATATCCCAGCGAGTGTACGTGGTCATCGGGAGGATCTGCCGATCGCCATGAGAGTCCTCGGTTCCGGCTACTTGACCACTTGTCTGCAAATCAAATACTACCGATTGGATGATCAGAGCCACTGCGAGTGGGGTGCTAGATTGCACTGCATCGAGCTTGATTGTTCTAGCGTCGAGGGACGTCTCGTCACGGTGGATCGGGAGACGTACAGAAAGCTCGGCATAGAATCTTAACGAAACGTCATCAGCTTCACCGGTATCGGCTCGTTGCCAGCTCATTACAGCGAGGAACCGACGCCGCACCGCGTAGTGCCACAATCGATGCCTCTCGCACGCGATCGGCTGAATACTTTACGCTCGTAAATGGTAAATACAGGTTGTATCAAGACTTATGTTCGGCTGAATTAAGGCCAGGTACTTTTGTCTAGAAAACTTCAAGATAAGCATAAAGAAACGATAATACCAACGAGTCTAATTTCACGATTTTTAATTTGAAAAAATTACAATACATAATTTTTTTATTAATGTAAAGAACAGAAGCCTAAAAATTCTGTCTCTATTTAATTATAGATATAAATTTTGCCGAAATATGATCTTAATACTTCGAAAATTGGCCCTAGGATGAATTTAATCGCCAGGTTATTCTGAGAGTTATTGAAAAACTTTAGTATTTTCAATTCAGTACGATGAATATAAATTGTGAAATTTCGAAGCGTTATCACGATCGATGGATAATTGAGACTAATCGTTACTAGTTGGCTAACAATATTGCGTTAATAGTTGGCTTAAGTTATTTAAAGAAGCCTGGCGTCTGATCTTTTGAGGCTTCTTCTTTATCGGAAACATCGAAACTTTATATCAAAAAATTGTTTAAACAAAATTAATTAATTAAATTATCATTATAATATTCTTAAAAATTTTTTTAAATTGGGATTTAAATTTATCTTGTATTTAGAAATTCCAGAGCTATTATGCGTTAATACAGTATTAATTGCACAACCAGTAATATCGATAATAGTTATGCTAATTTTTCGATGCAAAATAAATTATAAACATCTAATTGGGAGATATAATTAATTGTAATTGTTTTCTCTGGCCAGGGATTGCTGCAGGAATTAATACGATAGGAAAATGAACTCTAACACATTAATAATAGATATTTACATATCGACATATGTATATATACGTACTACGTATCGAACATACACGCGTCATTGATTTCTGATTAATACTTAATTGTGAATACGAATCAATCGCGAGGCAATATGCCGTGGTAAGGAAGAGAACGGCGTTTTTTTATAATTGAAAGCATCGACAGAAGTCCTACTCGTGTCAGTGGTGCGACGTCAGCTTTCGTGAAACTTTGCGATCGAAGTGTACGATGCACTTTTACGCGTATTCTTCGCTTCGATGTTATTTTTTATTTACGATAATTCTTGCTTATTTTTCTTTTTTATCTTTGCACTTCTCGAAAGATAAAATTATTATAAAACTCGTCTCTGTCTTGATATATGCGTTATTGTGTACGTTAATTTTAAAAGCGTCCTCAGAGCGCTACAATAGGAGCTTGAAGTATCTTAATACTCGAAAACTTTGGCAATCAGCGAAGTGACCAATTAACGCCTTTACGCTTACTGTAATTATGCAAGTCGTTTCTACTTTCTCTACTCGTTTAATGGATTAACAAAGTTATCTTTACAAGTTGTATAAGTGTATTGCATGTACAGGGTGATTCTCGATTATATGTTAAAACTTCAGAGATATATTTAGAACAAGGAAAAAATGTCATCTATGAGACACGGATTAAATATTATTTTCAAAGTTTGTATCGGCTTGAAACGTGTGCATGTATATATTCATACACACGCGCGTATTTTTGTCGTACTGCGATGAGTCTTACTCATTCTAATGTAGGCGGCGAAAAGGAATTTACAATAAATTAAGTTTCCGATGCAATGTTCGGAATTTTCTGCGATTTCTTGTCCTATGGCGCTTAAAATCAAATTTTTCGCATAATACGTATCGATTGATCAGAGGCGTCCTACATTTTTAGTTACGTCTTTACATAACGCCTCTGATTAATTATACGAAAAATTGGTGCCATGGAATGGCATTCTTAGTTCAAAATCCATTTGTGTATAATTAAAGATCACTCTGGTATGAAATCTCTCTAAAAGAAATATATATACATTATTTACATACAATAAATATAAAAAATCACATGTCGCATTTGTTTTGTTATTTTACATTCATAATTGCGGTGGCAGATAGTGCAGCAATGCGTCCGCGATATCTCTGTTCCTCAACTTCTCCACTTGCATACGCATTCGCATCGCCAGCCCGTTCGTGCGCTTCAGATACATCGCCGAGTGATGTACCGCGATCATGAAGGGGATTGGACACCACGACTTTTTGACTACATCGCGAACTAGCGCAGTGATGTAGCTTTCTATAAGCGATGTATCTTCCTCCTCCGGATAGAGATATTCCTTTAACGGCAACACCAGCTTCTCTGGCAACAGTTTTAGGTATCGCAACGCGGCCGCGTGTTCCGACCACAGAAGTTTCCGGTAGTGTGGGTCGTGTCGTTGCGCCACTGGCACCAACAATATCATAGCGAAACCGTCATCGCCGTACGAATTTGAATAGAAATGCTCGCACAATGCCGTGAACAGATCAGTGAAGGAACTCAACCCTGGTAGCTCCGTTCGGAAGTTTAATCGCGCATGATATCTTCTCAGCAGATTCGACAGGACATTCAGCAACAACATGGCCACATCGCTTTCCAGGTAGACGGTATCACACAGGTACACCAATATCAGTCTGCTAAATCTCAAAGTAGGTGATAGCTTCTCCATGAGATCAGGCAAGACTAATGCTAGACTTAGCACTGTTAAAATGCTATCCTTATCTCCCGACTGCAACTTGATATCGTTTTTGGACTTTGTATATATGTGAACTAGCGGTAAGAAGAGCCAGTCCTTCGGCATTGCCGCTTGGTTCCAATCGCCGTTCGCCGCGATGTATCTCTCGTACAACGATGTCGCGTCGGAACGCAAGCCTGTCTTGATCTGATCTACCGTGGACGTCAGGTCTAATTTGGCTAATTCGTTGGTGATTATCTCCAAATTTACTTTTTCGTTCGACAACGCGATTTGAAGGAGCTTCCTCACGTGATCCGTGGCGTCCGCAGGTAACGTCGAGATGAGTTTGATGGTGATCTTCCACACAATTTGAGCTGTCCGATTGTTAATTGTGTCTCCAAGGAGAAATACTGCTCGTACTACTGTTGTTAAAAGATATAACTCCGTTCTGCTAAACCACGATCTTTCCAAACTCCACTCGGTCTTTTCCAAATCTTCTATATATTTGAGGAAGGATGGATGTTCAAGTATCAAACGAATTTCTGCTACGCGAGAATTATTGTAAAGTGTATTGAATATTGTCGCTAAGAACGGTATGCACGAATTTACTGATACAATCGGTTGTAACTCTCCGTTCTCTGTGAGAACATCCAAGTTGGGAAGACAGGACGGTTCTCGATCCGTAGCCGCGTTATTGTCGCTTAATAAGTTTGAACTGGAACTGCAAGAAAACAAATATAAATATTGTAAATTATATATATATATATAAATGTGCATGTGTGTATACGCGCGCGTTGTATATACACATATATATATATATATATATATATATGTTTCCAAATATAAAAAAAAGAGTACGCTTACCGAAGAGATAAGAAAACGTGTTGGTTGGATAGCCACGTTGATTTAAATGCCGATATCTCATCAACGGCCGATAAACTCTGCGCAATTAATTTCATAACACCCCACTGAAATTTATAAAACTTTATATGCCTTCTCGAATATTGATAAGTGTTAAGATAATAAAGTCAAATTAATAAAAAAAGCATACCAAGAAATAAATATAGTCTTAATATTTTTTAATATTTATTAAATAATTATTTCTTCATAATACCTACTTGATAAACTAATTAGATCTATACTAATGAGAAACTAATTAAATTATTACAAATAGATCAATAATTGTTCTCACCGTTGGATTAGACACAGACGAAAACTGCGTACTCCACTTCATTAGCAATGTAGAAATGTTTGGTTTGAACATTTTTTCGTGACTTGCTATAGCAATCAACGCCGCGGCGTGTTCGCACGCCAACTCGGATGTGTTTTGAATATCATGATTACTTAATAACAGCTGTAGTTGTGATATGAGAGTTAACTGGGCACCCGTAACACTGTCTAAACCTACTTTGTAATGCAATAATATTCGCCAGAGCCGCAGGCTCTCAATGCTGAGATTTATGTGATCTTTCCTATCAAAATATTATATATTTAATAAAATAAATATGTATATTTAATAAATAAATATGTGTACAGATATATAGGAAAGCTTACCCTGTCTCGCTGCTAATATACGTTAGAATGGCTTGGATAATTTTAAAGTTATCTAATTTCTGTGCGATGGGCTTCTTGCCATACGTGACGAGAACGCGACATAATTTAATCGCTGTAACTACAGGAATCCCGTAAACATTATTTATCTCATCCTGCATTGCTGTAAAAAATTCCAGGCTCTTTAAATAATCTATCAATAATTATTTGTCAAATAAATTTTAGATTTACTTAAACTTATTTAAAGATAATACGTTTTTATGTATTATTTTAAGCATAATTTACCTAGTCGGTCTGTAGACAACGGTATAAAATTTTGAATGATAATGTCTAACAAATATGGCGTGGACGAGATATTCAATGCCGTTATGTGTGAATGTCTCGCGAGACGGATAAGTATTTCTAAAGCACACATTACTCCAACAGGTGGTGGATGCATCGCACTTAAAATGTATCTACAAATGATTACATCTAAATTAGCTTATTTATTTTACATATTTAAAGAAGAATCAAATAAAAACATAACTAAAAATCATAAAATTAAAAAAAAACCTATTTCCAAGCATTATAAATATTTAACAGAAAAATATAATAACAAAGTTATACGTATACCTAATTCTCAATAAGAAATCCGATCTTAGTAACACAACCACGGCATCCAATTGCGCCAACTCGTGATCCTTCAGACTACTTGTATCGTTGTCTTCAAGTTGAGGTGTCAGGGTGGGTTCTATGTATCCTTCGAATCCGTACAGTCTGTCCAAGCATACCTCGTCCGCCTCGCTGACCAGAAAAGCTCTGAGAGCTTGCAGAGCTGCCGTGACCACGACTACCGACGAGTCATCCAATGAGAACCTCAGCAGCAGCAGGATATTCTTTTGACTGAGTGCAGTCAGTGGTGCTGGATGCAAGGCCTTGTCATACCAACCCCTGCGCGTTTTCTCCATGATATTGGCCAAGGTGGTAAGGGCTGTACACCGTTGCTGTTGATTGGAAGACCTGCTCAATTGCAGCAATTCTTGAAAGGAGTATCCGGGACGTTCGGGTTCCTCTCCGTGATGATAGAGGCCTTTGTTTACGGTTAAGCTCTCATCCTTATATGGCAATAAAAGACCTAAAAATATAAAAAAATGAATGATAGAAATAAAAGATAAATATAATCAATATCGTAGCAAAATGAATTGATATGTTACTTACCATTAAAATCAAATCTCGCATTGTATTCTTTGTCTGGCAAGGTCTCGTCTTTCTCCTTTTCCGGCAAGTCTTCCATCCACTTTAACTTTTCTGGTTCAGGAGTGTTCATATGGAGCCATCCTTTCTGTTTACTTTCTTTAAATATTTCTTTAGAGGAGTCCGGTATGCTCAAAGTGCCATCTTCGCAATCCATTTTTGTATCTACATTATCCGAAGACAATTTTATCTTTTTGTTACTAGATATTTCTGTATCCATTGTTGTTTCTTTTGCGCTTGAAGTACTTGTTACATCAGTCTCACAGTCCATTTCTTCATTATCATTTGATGAAAGCTTTACCTTTTTATCATTGGACACTTCTGTAACCACTGCAGTTTTGTTCACAACTGAAGCATCAAGTTGCCTATTCTGTTTGATTGACTTTTCTATAGATTTATTTTTTTTATTTCTTAAAAACTGTATTATCTTAGGATCAAGAGTCTCCTCAAGCTTCCTTTTTTCCTTTAATATCTCTGCTTCGCTCATTTGTGCTAGTTTTAGCGAATTTTCTTTGTAAATTTGAAATAAATTATACTTTGTCATAATGTTTTCTTCTTTATTGCAATGGGAAGATTCGTCCGTATGAATTTTCACGCAATTGTCTCTCACAGATTTTAATTTTCCTGAGAGAAATTTCTGCGAGAATAAACTCTGCTTACTATCATTCTACAAAAGAATAACAAAATGAGTTGACTTAAAAAAAATATCAGAGATATTTAAAATATCAGAGATTTTTATAATATGTTTTGATCAGACATACCTTGTTCATAAGTGACATATCATTAGATCCATAAATCTCAGGAAGCTCGACTGCTGTAGAAACGCAGTTGTCGTTAAATTCATATTCCTTGATATTAAATTTCCTCTCCATGATATTGCCAAGTATTATATTCGACGATATTGCTGGTATATTCTGTACCATATCCTGCAATTTTCCTTTTGTATCCTGAATCTTGTCTTTCATGACCGGATTTATCATCTCTCCGCTGCCTTGTGAAGTGGATACTACATCTTGCTTCACCTTAGACTGTCTCAGACTCGAGAATCGCGATCTTGAAGCACCTGAAGCATTGGTAGAATTCCTTAGATTTGTTACCTTCACGGCCGGCGGTTGCTTTGCCTTCAGGAATTCTTCCTGCTGGCGCAGAAGCTCCTCCTCATCGTCATTCGCTCTAGGCCTCTTCAACTCAACTTCATCAGCCATTTCTCAGGTTGTTATAACCTCTGTTATTTTCAATAGTTTATAATCATATATTGCAACAGAGGACCCGCAAATTGAAACTCAATAATTGCAGTTCGTAAGAAACATTATCGCGACATTTCTGCGACGTAACAATTTGTAAACATTGTCATCGCATGTTATTTCATGATTAACTGAATTGACTCACCAGATGCAACGTGATCAAACATGACGCTTTAACACCACAAAACGACTGCATTTACCATCCATAGGAAAAGTATTACCGACGATTATTGAGAATCCTAGCTCGAGGAATATTCTTGATGAATTGTTCTCAGAAATTCTTACAAATAAATTAAATGTATTCATTTCTTTTCATTTTCTATATTCATCTTTA